GAGGGAATCAAAATATAAATCTGAGTTTCATACTTGCAGTATAGGAGTTGATGTGTTTTGTAACAGGATTTCAATATGTATTAATACTAGATGGATAAGTGGGAGGGAAAAATGAGGAGGAAGGAAAGAGCTACTGTGTTATTGGTGAAATTTGTTCTGGAAGGCTCACTAACTTGGTTTCTTAATAAGTACCAAAGATGTCATCATGTTAAATAAGGTTTTATAATCTGAGATCGCACTTCAGGGATTCAAGAACTTGCTGATGCAAAATGAAATTTACCTTGGGAGAGAGGTCTACAAATTTAATCAGATTCTTAAAGGGCTCTATGACACCCCAAATAAAACAAATCACTGCTAAAATTATGGAAGTGCCTTACTCCACTGAACAGATACAACCATACGTTTTTTAAAATGAACAAGAGAAGTTTCTAATTTAAGAGACATTTATATTTGTACTTAGAGAAGCAATGAATTTTCTTTAGCTAATTAGCACCCTCTAATTTTTTGCTGTTGTTACTTCATGTTTATAGATATTCCTAAAACTGATTATCAGGATTCCTAATAAACTAGTGAATCTACAAAGTATTTTTCTCTATTATTTATGCTTTATGACCATATCATAAGGAGGCTAGACCGATTTCAGAAATCATTTAGATCAACACTTAGCTATAGGCAAATGCATACCCAGAGCATCCTAGATGGGGGCTGCTCATTTTAAAGAAGCTGGATATCCCCCTTCCTCCCTTGGAAATCTGTTCATGGGTGTCATAGCAGGAACTCTCAGCATTTGAGGATTTTCACCTCTGCGGAGAGTTCAGACACATTCTCAGCATTACATAAACATGACAAAGATTTTCTCTTTGTCTGTGTTTCCCAGTTCAGGATGCTCTGCCTGAGTTAGTACATCCTAATGTGTGTCTATAAATACTCCAGAAGTGACAGTGGTGGTGGTGGGTTAAAGAGTGGATTAGAAAGCTGACAGTCCCATGCCAAAGGAAGCTATCATCCAACGGCAGGAGCTAAGAAGGCGACCCAATTAGTCTTTACTTCTCTAATTTCCCTGATTACACATCTCTTTTTACCCCCTCTGCCATACCTAGTAAGTTCCCCCAGACATAGACTTAATCAAGAAGGCAGAATATTGATGCAATGCAATTTAAAGGAGACCTGTGTTATGCTAAGATACGTGGCCAACAATGAGACCTAAACAATGAGGAAGCCCCTGAGGCATAAAAAGTGGCTGGTCCAGATAACCTGCTTCTGGGGGTGTCAAAGCAAATGAAGACAGAGAATGTCAGATCACAGCTGGGAGACTTGACTGGACAGAGGGCAACTTTCCTGAGCCATGGGGCATGGACACAACAGGAACTGATGTCACACCCCTGACTTAGCAGCCCAAGCTGGGCACTTCTCTGGCTAGAATTCTTGGCCCTGAGGACCTGAGTAGTGGGTATTATAGTCCCTGGAAAGAAAGGTAAATCTCTGCAAATCTGTATAAACTTAGGGCTGTAGGATATGCTGAGCCACAAAGGTAAGGTCTTAATTAGGCCAGAGATTATTCTTTTAAAAATTTAGATTCATCTTTCTTATGTTGAAGTCCAACTCACACTGAGCCCTTGTTTGGACTTAATCTGTTAAGCAGTGAGGCGAGGGCTGAAGAGGGCACACTCTGAGCCTAACTGGACCAATCCTGGCTTTTGAGTAGCTTCTTAATTGTTACATGAAAATGGGCAAAGTAGCAAAGCTATTTCTCAGTTTTACCACCTGCAAAATGGGCATAATAATAGACCATACAGTTTGAACAGTATTTGGCACAGTGGAAGTTTTAAATAATATTGTATAGCTTAGATAAAATAAGGATAAAATGCTTGGCACAGTAGTATCTGCCAGAGTCAACGTTCAGCAAGTGGTACATTTGCTACTAGTGTTACTGTCAGTGGCGAGGATAACACCACAAAGGCAAGAGCAGCAGATGAAGTGATGGAGAAGGTCAGCAAAGTCCATGTGCCAAGGTCACAGGAAACATGGGGAGAAATAGAATGACCTACACTGCACAAGGCCTAATATTTTGGATTTTTGAGCAAAAGAAAGAAGCAAACTGTGGTAATATGTTAGGGGAAATATGGGAAGTATGGTGAAATCATCATCACTGTTTCTTTTTGTGTTTATTGGGTGGTGGTGGGGGTGATTATCAGTTCTATTTGAATGTTTTATAAGCTGTTTGGTTTATTTGCTGAGAGTGCAGGGGTAAACAGGGATGTTATTCTGCTGTGTCCTGTCACTGGTTCTCAGCTCTTCCACGAACTTTCAGACACGGTTAACCAAGGAGGGAAGTTCACTGTGGAGGAGGAGAGGTAGGGCTGGATCTGCTGGCTGACTCATCTTACTCGGGGAGCAGTGGGCGAGTCTGCTCTCAGTCTGGCCGTCCTGGGGAGGGGAGTCAGGCCCCAGATGGCGACTCCCAATGATACCTTGAGAAAGACATGCTGATGGTATGTCAGAGGTACACAGTCAGTTTCTCATTATAGGATTTGATGGAAACTAAAACTAAAAGATCCTAAATCTTTTCCAACCCTGAGTGTTCAAGGTTGTATATTTTAATATTTTGTTGCTCGAAGGTCCCTTTTTATAGCAAGGAGTCTTTAATCCTGAACCCAAGACCCTCTCTTCCATATATTTTCATGGTGGCCCCTTCTTATTCACTCACAGTGACATTTCACCTCATCAGGGAGATCCTCTATGACTCTCCTAACTAAGGAGGTCCCCACCAGCCACCCCTTCAAATTACATTGCTTCACTCTCCCTGCATAATAAGAGTAGATTAGTGGTTAAGTGCATGGGGTATGGAGCCAGACTCCCAGAGTTCAAACTCCAGCTCTGTTCCTTCAACATATGGTGTTGTGCTCATCAACCTCTCTAGCCTTAACTTCTTCATCTGTAAAATGGAAACAATGAAAATACTGTCTTCTAGGATAGGTATGAGGGCTAAGACACATATGATGTACAATGCCCAGCATAGTCGAGTGTGCATAAATGTTAGATATTGTTATGTTAGCCTTCCTTACTCTCTGAAAGCACCTTCATTTATTAACTTATTATTGTTGTCTCTCCCTGTTAGAATGTAAGCAGCATGACAGCAGTGACTTTTCAGTGTCTGATGCTGGGTTACCAGGATCTAGACAGGCTCCACAGTAGGAGCTCAACAAATGCTTCCCAAATGAATGAGTAAGTGTTCTATTAATCCATAAGAAATGAGCTTGTCCAACTTCAGGCCACACAGCAAAAACAACTTTACTGAACTGCCTGGGTGGCAAACAAACAGACCCCAAGGTACCTGGTCTTGCCTAGATTGAAACTCAAACTACTTCTTCATGTTTTTCTTTATCCACATATCCCCCTTTTCTCAGGTTCAAATTTTTGCAGTTTTATGATCTCTAGTTTGTCATGGGAAAGCAATAATTTCTTCTGTTTTTCAAAAAATCAAATCATAAAATGATATTATACTAAATATTGCTTATTCAAACAATATCGATATCTCACCCCTCCCACCCTTCCTCCCGCCAGGGATATGCCCTCTACAGACCAGTAAAAACCACTCAAGGTGAAGAACAAATGCTGACAGTAGAGTAATAGTTGAAAGGAAGCCCTATAGCTCCTAAAAGCTGGAATGCAAAGAATGCATCTTTCTAGCATTAAAATGATAATAATCACTACACCTATAGTAAACTTGCTCAGGCTACACAGTTAACAACTAATAAATACATTGTGTTCAGTGAGGCAGGGAAATACAGAATGGTCCTAAGGATAGAGACTGGTTTTTCCCCTGTAACAGATCCCTCTGTACCAGGCCTCCGTAAGGTACAGCTACTGTGGGGAGAGCTGCCCAGATGCCTCCCCTTTGCGTCACACCCTGTTCAAGGTCAAGGATGCACCATGTGTGCCCTTCAGACTGCAGGACAGCTCAGCTGAAGGTCAGTCATGGAAAGGCCTAATTCCCCACCTCCTTTCTTTTTTTTCCTAAAGAATTCATGTCAAAGAAAGTGCCTAACTCTGACTTTTATGCAGCTGCTGGTCTCCTGATGTGACTTATATAAGGTTTTAAGGCCTGATGATATTGACTGTTACTATCCCCAACAAGGCTGGGTCCTCCTGAAGAACTGAGCTATCAGAAGCTCTAAACTCTACAACTGGGAGAGGTCGTGTGGACCACATCACAGTACATCCCATTCTGTTTGCCCTCCCACACATTATAAATATTGTTTGAGAGATTGGTAGTGTGTTGTAAAATTGATAAGATTCAGGTTGCCAAAGGCATTTCATAAATTTCGTAGGTCTTAATTTATGTTGCTATAGTAACTGAAATGCTGGAAGTTCCCAAGATTAGAAGGCTTTTATATCCTTAACCTTAAAATGGTGATAATGTAGATTATGACTCCAGACTTGGTCTTGCTATTGTGGGGAGCACATACTCTGAATGCTGAGTGTTTTATGTATGCTAAGGTATGACTGAATGTTAAATGGTTGTAATTTCAGAATTAGGATTTCTGACATTCATGCAACCTGATTTTCTTACTGTTGTATATGAATCTTGGTGGTTAAGATGTTATTAAAATGGGTAATCTTTCTCTACAGAGAAAGGGGAATTTGGAAGTGGAATTCTTTTAAGTAGCAGTTCTAGAACACTCATCTTAAAGACTGATAGGAATTAGGCTCACCTTCTGCATCAAAGTGAATTTCTAGCACATTCTGAAGCCTTTGGTACATTAATAAGTACCTTCAAAAAAGACACTCTTTTGGGCAGGTAGTATACCAGCAGGTCCGCAGTGAGAAGGAGAGCTCATGCAGCCCCTACCTGAGACAGGAAGGTTACCAAGAACCCTACGGACTGCTCAAGGTCACATGTGTTCACCGCATGGACCCAAAGCCACTGGGAGGCTCCATGCAAATAACCTAGGATCAGCCTGAGACAGAAATACCTGCCCTCCCGGAACCCAGCTTACCTTATATCCTGATGATTTGATGTGCACGCCGCGTTTGGTCAGAGTAGATTTCATTCGGATGAAAAAGGAACGCTCAAGAGTGTTGTCAGTGGTTAGCAGACTGGGGCTGGTTGACTCCACTGAAGAATACAAAAATACACACACACGTGATTTAGAGCTCTACATGGCTCCTCACAGCTACTGCTCAGGTGCAATCCTCGAGTTCACTAAAAATAAATGACTGATGGGTGCTAAGAGTGTAGTAATCAATTTATCTCATTTAGAAAATGTTTACTTTGCAGAAAATGAAAAGGAAAAATTAATGTATCCGAAGTAACTCCATTCCAGGTTTTAGCAGGAGCTTATCAGGCCTTTTAACTTCTGGCAGCTCCCTAAGTGAGTCTAACGTTGAGTAACTGTGGCATACCTTGAGGATATGGTCAGTGCACGTGGACAGAACTGTCATGAAAAATAGGGCCTCATAGATTTATGGGATCCACCAAAATGCAGGCAGAGAAGCTGGTGATGGAGAGTAAGGATGACTTGCTCTTTGCTCTCCTGGAGAATCCCTGCCTGTCACATTTGCTTACTGGGGAGCTCTGTGAACAGCAGACCACCAAGGTTGGGTAGCCATATGCTGGCTAGTGTCCTTGCCCTCCTGAGTTGGTTTCCTTCATTGTGGGGAGTGAGAAATGTAAAATCTTCTTGACTGACTAGAGATGGAAGGCTGAGAATAGAATGTACAGACAGAAACAAATAAAAACTACTCACAGTATCAATTTTGCATTCCTGTTTCTAATGGCAGCTTGCCCCCTGCCCTCAACAGAATAGGATGTGAGAAAATAAGTTTTCTCTCTTAAGCAAGACTCTCTTTCCCTTTAAATGCTTTTAGAGTAAGTAGAATAGTTTATGAAACTTAAAATGGTAGTTTGCAGTCTTGCTGAGCTAAAAACACCTTTATGCAAACAGCCTGGAAGGCAACATAAATCTATTTCTAAGGCATTTTATAAATTTAAGTGTTTTCCTGCAAGAAAATTAATTTTGGTATTTTTAAACCTAATAAATTCGCTGTCTAATTTTACTCCTCTAAAATACTACTTTAAGGTTTTCCTATTTTAAAATTAAATATGTCCAACAATAAATAGGACTTTTTGTAGCCCTAACTGACACTAATTTTCTCTGGGGTTGGGGTAACAATATGTGTGATAAAAAGACTTAATTACATGTGAAAACATTTATGAAAACACAAAGAAAAATAGCTAAAACCAGCTTTTAAATTTTAAATTATGAAATGTATTCTGTATATTTTTAAGGGAAAGAAATATCTATTTTTTCATATGAAACTTGCTGCTCAGATGGAAGAGGAAATAAGAGCTACTGTAATAACAGAACCCTTGCTGTTTATAGTCAGGGGCCTTTCTTGTATCATTCTTGTTGTACTCTGACAGTATTTTCCTACATTTTTGGCATTCCTATTCTGGGGCAATGGAACCACTAACAAGTGTCACTTTCTTATGTGTCTCTCTTATGATTTTCTTTCTTTCTTTTTTTGTTTTAGAGAGCATGGATCTGATGTCATTTTAAATGTATAGCTTTTTATCACTCGAGGGAAAAGCAGAGCCATGTTATATTTAGTACTTTCATTTCTTCTGATTAAATATGAATTACTATGAAATTTTTCTCATCATCTAACATGCCATAATACGCCAACAGCTTTTTAATACACTATATAAGCACAAACTTCTGCTCTAAGAGTTTAATTTGCCCCTCTAATCCAATCACATCAACCTTATTTCTCTTATCAGAGATTCCCATTTTGAATTAAATGAGCTCATTAGTTTTAATCAAAAGCAGAGAGATCAAAACTTAAACGTAAATGCTTTAGATCAGAACTGTCAGTCAGCCGTGCAGTTCTATTTTACTAAAACACAAGATCAGAGACCCTTAGAACCAATTTTTTCTCGTAAGGGATGCCGAGAGCTTGAAGATGCTATATCCTTTTTTTTTCCCCCTTCCCAAGGACAGATTATACATTTAAGGTTAGACTTAATTTATGGCAGTTTTTCATCCTGGTAGAAATGGAAAAGTATGCCAATCTACTGTTGTCCCTTTCACATTTATTGGCACTGGTCCTCAGAGACCTGAACTAACGTGAAGCCATCAGCATCCACACCACAAACTCAGCCTTAAAAATTCAGCTCTGTTCAGCAAGATTGTGTTTGCAATAGCCGAGGAAAAATGAAACTTCCAGAGATGTGAAATGTGTTTCAGGGCTGGGGCGTCTGGTGCCCTGACCAGTCAGAAGAAGCCACCTGACTATGTAAGAGGGAGTGATTCAGGCATCCTTAGAAATGCAGTGTCGTTAGTACGTGGAGCTCCACAGGAGACCACTGCCGGGGGCTCCCCGCTGGTGATGACGCACACGCGGGACACAGGCTTTGCGTGAGCTGCGAGGCCGAGCTCTGCGCACACCCTGACCGAGGCAGTGAGGGAGGGGGACAGCACCCCTGTGTTTCAACAGCAGGTGTCTAAACACAGGCGCAGCATTCATTACCCCCAGGCCACCCGCTGTGAGAGGGACGTAAAGTCAGGTTTGCCTCACTGACGCTGAGATTTAAAATTTATAAACTGGTCTTCAAGCTTTATTTCAAGAGCATAGGGGATGCAGAAAAGGCGAGGGGCAACTTAGAAAAGAGTTTGATTTCTGATTCCATAGGATTTCCTAGTTTTGAGGACAAGGTCACAAGTAAACGTGCCATGCTGTCCCTTTTAAAGGGACACGTGACGACCTCATTCCCAGCGCACGCACACCGTGTTCGTGTTTCCTCAAGGGCTAGCAGGCACACTCTGGTTATCCCAACTCTGACAATGGAGTCTCTCATGTAAAAAGACGTATTATCTGCATGTGACAGACGAGAGTGGCAGCTTTAGAAGAGCTTCTAAGTGTCTCAGGTGAGAAGCACGATTCCGACGAAGGTTCTGTTGGGAGAGAGCGAAGGCAGCATGGCCTCGGTGATGGGAGGCACGACGTGGTTCTCAGCAGAGAATGGGTGTGGGGGGCCTGTGTGCACATATGTGTGCGTGGCCACGGGGGGATGTGAAGGGGACACAGGAGTGAGAAAGATATCCTTAGGACTGATGCTCTTTAAGACAATGGAGCCAGAGTACATCAAAGAAGCATTTCAGAGTGCTTGCTCGATAACAAATACTTTTCTGTCAACTTTTTGAGGCAGGCCACGATGACTGCTTGCACTGGATTCAAAGAAGTTGCCACTGATGCCTGAGACACAGGAGAAATTTATGGGTTAAGTGGTCAAAACCCAGATGTGGCCAGGTTTGCCCTATGAATTACAAACAAGGAGCTGAAGACCAAGAGCAAGTCCCACACAACTAGAAGCTGGATAAAGGACTACACTTTCTCTTGCTGAATCACAGGGTCTCAACTTTTTAATAAATCTCAATTACCTCAGCTCTTGAAATGTCAGTTTTTTCATTTTTTTTGTAAAATTTACAGAACAATTGATAACAAAAGTTGTAATAATTTTTATGTTGGCAAATGCCACCATAATGTGAAATCATGTCTGTATTACCCATATTTGTTTATAGTCCCTAACTGGCATTGTAGTGCTGCTTCCTCCTTATTATGTAGCAGCAGGAGGTGGTGGGAAGGTGGAGAACGAGGAGGGGGCTGAGAAACATCTCATTCTCACAGGTCAGTCCTGGGGCCAAGTCCATCCGGACACACTCAGCATTCCCTCCAGGGGCTCTACAGGTATATGAGGCCAAAGCGTAAAGAGAGGTTTTCTTTACAGTATTCTCTGAATGTTTTCAGTGCAATTCTAGTAACAGAACTCTTCAACTGCCACCAAATTCTGCTGTGAGGGGGAAAGAAAAATGAGGGAGAGAAAAGAAATATTACGTTTTTAGAACACATTGTTCCTCTTCAACTGTGAACAAGGAAGTCTTTTTCCTTTTAAATGAGAAGTAGGTGAGGGTATGGCATTAAGATACGAAGTTAAATATATTCTTTCCCCATTTCACTGCAAATGAATCTTTCCTTTTTCAGATGTTCTGTGCACCTAGGACACACCGAAGTGTGAATAACCAAAATGACTTTCACAAGGCAAGGGAGGAGATGTTGGTTCATTTTCCAACTATCTTGGGAAAGCCAGTTGTTTCATTGGCATATACTGTTAGCTTTCTTAGATACTGATGTATTTCAGGACTTCAGTTTGGGTATGTATCAAGAACATGACAAGCTGTTTCTTTTGTTGCAAAAGTTTTCTTGCACTTTGTCTGCCACTTGGAAGTTAGGTATGGTCCTGAAGCTTTCTGTGGCCAATGAAATGTGACCCATATCACACATCACTTCCAGGTGGAATTTTTGATAAGAGCCAGTCATGAAGGGCTACTTTTTCTTTCCTTCTGCCTGGTGTCTCTCAATTTCAGATGGTGGCTGCTCCATCAGCCTGGGTCTTGAAATGAAGATACTGTGGAACAGAACCCTCAGCCAACCTTCACAGAAAATAAAACTTTGTTGTAATTTGGGAATTTTTTTTTTTTTACTGCAGCATTACTGAGCCCATATTGACTGATACAAATATCAAAACTTTATTATTACATAAAAACAGTCAGTATGTTGTCCAGGTCTCCCAGATAGTCAGTGGCAGAGCACACAGACATGACATGTTTACCTGACTCAAAGGGTTACAATGTTATCAATATACTGTTCTTACAGTTATTTATATCCCTGTTTTATCTCTCATGCTAGATATTCTGGAGTAGTAGAGCTGAGAGATGTCTAACTGGTTCCCTAGCATGATTCCTTGTACCTGGAGCAAAGATGATACACATATATACACACATATACACATAGATATTTATATTTGCTTAATATAGTCAATAGCTAATATTCATTAAATGTTGACTTTAATGTAATAAGATTTTCCCAATCCAGTTTCCTAATAGTAGGACAAGCATGGTAAAAAACAAATCTTTTCTCACAGAAATTTCTATGTTTATGCAGGAAAATCATGGTGGTTTTAAAGTGCCACAAGTTCTCCCATGCTCTTCCCTCCAAAAGGTGGAGGCTACTTCCTCTAGGCCTTGAGTGCGGGCTGGACTTGGTGACTTCTCATAA